TCTACACTGGCATTGAGTTTTCAGTTATATTAAGAGGGGTTTTTTATTTGCAAGCTTTTTCGGTGGAAACCAGCTCTAATTTTCAAATGCAGACTGCCAAGTCCAAATTATTATAGCTGCTTTCACCGAATCCCACTGCTTTACATCCACACCCACTATCTGACATTCAGCCAGACCGTGTAGAACCCGACCAGAACCGATCCAAACTTCAAGCCTCCTGCCAACAGCCAGCTGTCTTCTGGGCCCGAGGGAGCAAGGACTCCCTATTCACCAAAGCAACTCGAACTGTTGCTGAGTGACAAGCAGGACTTCTGGAGCCCACAGCTTCTAAAGTTCTGTGGAGCAGAAGTCTGGATCCTTCTTTTATAATCCTTCTTGTCTGGAACAGAGCAGCCAGCGTACCACACGGTGATGCAGTATGTCAAAACACTCAGTGGTGGAGCGGTAGAACATCTCTAGCAGATTTCCCCACAGATTGGTTTTGCAGAGCATCCTTAAGAAGTGTAGTCTCTGCTGGGATGTTTTGACTACCACTGAGGTGTTTTCTGTCCAAGAGAGGTCCTGGGAAATGGTAGTCCGCAGGAACTTAAAGATGGAGACCTGCTTCACCTCGTCCCCGTTGATGAAAAGCAGAGAAGGATCCGTCCTCACCATTCTTTGGTTCACCATTTCTTTGGTTTTTCTGGTGTTGAGGGACAGTTTGTTGTCTACGCACCACTTGGACAGTGCCCTCACCTCATCCCTGTATGCCAACTCATCTCCTCCAGTTATTAAGCCAACCACAGTGGTGTCGTCTGCGAATTTGATGATGGTGTTGCAGAAGTGGATGGGAGTACAGTCATGAGTGCACAGGGAATAGAGGAGTGGGCTCAGCCAGTGCTGAGCGTGATGGTGGAGGAGCAGTGGGGGCTTCACATGTTGCAGGCAGTTTGTGAGGAATTCTATAATTCAGGCACAGGTAGAACGGGGTAAGCCCAGGTGTAGCAGCTTGTCCACTAGTATACCTAGGATGATTGTGTTGAATGCTGAACTATAGTCCACAAATAGCATTCGAACGTAGTTCCCCAGCTTCTCCAGGTGCTCAAACTGGGCAAAGAAACAATTCCGTTTCTCTGCCAGCTCTACACTGGCATTTACAGCCCCAGAGGGTCTGCCTTTGTAGTTGGTAAGATGCTGCAGTCCCTGCCACACCTGTCATGGATTGTTCTGTGCCAGATTGTCTTCTATTTTCCTCCTGTAGTCCTCCTTAACAGCCTTAAAAGCCCTCCTCTGATCAGCCCTCGCTGCACTATACTGGGCCTGAAAGCAGAGTTATGCACTTTCAAAAGAGACTGTACTTCATTGTTCATCCAGGGCTTTTGATTAGGATAAACTCGGATTTGTTTGTCACAAACAGTTACATTTTCAGTACAGGTCTTGATGTAAAATAGCACTGCCTCTGTATATTCCTCCAGGTCCACATTTTCAAAAATACTCCACTCTGAGCAAGTGCATCCGCTGGCCACGTTTTCGTAGTCTTTTTTCCAGGCTTGGTCAGTGGGGGTGTATGCTGGGATTAGGAGCAGTGAGATGGTCAGACAGGCTCAGTTGTGGTTGGGCCACTGCTTTATATGCATGCTTTAAGTTTGAATATACGCAGTCCAGTGTTTTTTATTTCCCTGGTGGCACAATGTACATGCTGTATGAATTTAAGGAGCACTGTCTTTAAGCATGCTTGAATAAAGTCATTGGCAATCATGTGCACTGCTTCAGGATAACCCTGTTGCTGTTTGTTTGTAGCGTCATGCAACAGGACGAAAGCTATGCTATTGCTGGCATCTGGTGGTATATACACAGCAGTAATGAGCACAGCAGAGAGCTCTCATGGCAGGTAAAAGGGTCTACACAATACAGACATTGCTTCCATGTCAGGATAGCAATGCGTGTATGTGGTCTTACAGTTAGTGTTCCAGCCATTGTTAACATACATGCATAGACCCCCTCCTCTGCTCTTACCGGAGTCTCTGTTCCTGTCGTGCCAATGAATGGAGTGCCCTGCTAGGAATACTGCTGTGTCTGGGATCAGTGGATGTAGCCAAGTCTCTGTGAAAATCATCACACAATTGCGAATGGTGGAATTTCCAGCGATAAGTAGATCCAATTCATCTGTTTTGTGCACAATGGATCAGGCGTTGGTGAGAAATATGCTTGGTACCGGTGGCTTATGTGGTTGTTTCCTCAGTTGTGCTAGTAAGCCTCCCTGGCTGTAATACACCGAGACAAAGGTCCCTCTCTCCATTTCTTCTACAAATTCTATGATTGCTGATTTTGTTTTCCACTGAAAAATGACATCCCATTGTCAGCATCACTGTGGATGGTTTCCCATTAGGGACCTGGGCCCAGATCAGAGTACACTTGACCCCAAAAGTCTAGTTCATTTTGATCAGTGTGAAAACAAGCGAATGGTGCCCGAGTCCACTTGACGAGGTGATCTCGAGCACGAGTCATGTGATGTCACAACTATTCGACTCTCTTAGCTTAAACATTAACAAACATCAATGCCTCGTCTCTTCAGACACCACTGTGCCTGTGTATCATGGGCACAGTTCATCCTCTGAGCGGCACTGTAGATGTGGAGGTAGAAAGGCAGGTGAGAAGGTTGTTGTTTGCATCTCAAAAATAATAAAACCATTTGCACGAAACAGAGACAAATGTCACCGAGTTCATTACATGAGTGGTTGCTTTTTCTTGGTAGACTGCAAATCAACTACGTTCACACTGCCACCTATTTTACCAGACTGTGTACAAACGCAAGTGTGCTGGGCCATGGAACGATGTTACTAATATGAAAGACCTAAATGGACCTACGGGGGAGGGGCAGCAATCCTGCTCGGGCATAACCATGCCTAATGTGAAAACTCTCTATATCACCACAAATGTACCATTCATGCTGAAAGAACACAATGATGGGGAAACAGAAAGAGACTGATTCCTGCACCTACCACATAAACTATGACACATTCCTATCCCTTACATAATAGTACATCAACTTCTTTTAGCTTTAAAAAGTATCAATATTGATATCATTGATCCTAGCCTGGTATTACTTGGAATCAGATCAAACCAAATTCACAAAATGCTCCACAAAATCTAAATTTGGGCATTTAATTGAAACCAAAAAGAAGCCTGGAGGAGTGTGCCAGCTGTTAGTCAAAGCAAATACATGCCCCACAGTCGATTTTGCTGTGTATCTCAGAAAATATATATCTATCTAATCATATTTGGTTCTGTCTACAAGCTGAAAGAAAACTCAGAGGCTGTAAAATGTTACATGCAGTGTTGAAATTAGCCTGTTTTCTCTGCTATTTGAAAAACTACATACGCTGAATAAGAACTAATATTGACAACCAAGTGAAAACCCTAACAAGCAGCCATTATGCATTTATTTTTAGTTTTCATAGTGCTAGAGGTGATGCTGGTCATTCTGTCATCACGATGCCAGAATATATTTACTGCACCAGTTAAGACTAAGAGAAATCAGACGTCCTTTCTTCGGTCTTCTCCTTAATACATCCATGATTCTTCTGACCTGTGATCTTAAGCAACATCAAAATACAACAAAGCAATACCATGTGAGTGAGGATGATCCACGTCTAGCAATTAAATTAGTGATGTAGATTGCTATGCTTTTGGTGTCTGTTCTTGGTGCTGTCTGTTCACTCATTTTTAACTTCGCTAATGCATTTTTAAGCAGCTATGCTAGCATAACTTCGGGTGCGGTTATCATGTACACATTGTGTGCACTCTCAATGTGCACAGGCAAAAGTCTCTCCAGCTAGGCTACGTGATGCAGGCATTGTGTGGATTCTCAATGTGTGTTTTTGATTGTTTTTGTAAAGTGAGTGACATTCCCGATGATGCCAGCTGGAACATTGTTAAAACAACAATTATCACAGACGATATATATCCCACACCCCTAGTTCAGATCTTAGCCTGCCCACGCATGTACAGTTTTGACAGAAATGTGAAATACATACAACAATAATGCCCCCAAAAGACATGAACTCCATTCTAACAGCAGTTGTAGAATCAGAGATCGGATATAACTCAGATCTAGGACCACATACGGAAGTGGCCGAGATCTGATTCGAAAACATCCAATTTGGTTTATTCATTTGTCTGTTACAAAAATAAGACCTGAATTGGATTTGGGTCACTTCAGATGATAGTGTGAAGACAACCTTACATGAGGTCTCCAAAGATAATGAAACAATAAAAATGACAGAAGGTCTTAACAGGTGCAGCAAACTAACAGGTGGGTCGGGGAAAGGTCAGTGAACAACCACACAGTCCACAGGAGAGGTCTAATTAGATCAAGCATGGGTGTACCAGGAATACGCAGGACCTTTACAACTGTTAACTATTGTGTATGCCAGTTTGGTTTGTGACTTAGACCAAATCCCTGTTATTTGTTCATTATATGTGTGATTTACACATTCAGTCACACACACCTGGGACAGCCATCAGAACACTGCTGAGGGTTGTCTGAAAACCAGGGGCACAGTGGAGCGTAGGGATCCTACTCTTCAAAACACATCCATGATCTGAGTGTTTAGAATAACTGCATCTTATATTCACCCATCAGCATTCATTCATCTAACACCAGATGTAGTCCATGTAGCAAGTCAGAGAGTTTGACCTGCGCCATGCGAGAGTCAGCTCTGCAATCAGCTCTGTTCATGGTGTCACAGAGTCAGGACCTGAAATCAATGGGACACTGTGTATCCTCGGGTCCTCTGGTGGAGAAACCTACCCAAACACGGTTTTTACCCACTTTATGTGCATGACATTAGGTTAGTAAATAACATGAAGCGAATATAGCCTACATTTGACCAGAGACCTACTTTAAAAATACCAAACTCAAAGTTTATCTGCCTGCCGCTTGTTTGGTTTGTGATAAATGATGACAGGAAGTCATTTCCCCCCTGGCTTAACATTCCTCCGTCCTGAGAGTTTCTTACCCGGACAGATTCATTTGCTGCTTCTGCTGGCTCTGTTCCTGTCCGCTCTGCCAAACCACTGCCTGCTGATGACTGAGCTGTGGGGGTGATGCCGCTTGCGTCCCCATCCTGCGGGTCCGCACCTGGCCGCCGAAGTTCGCGGTGAGCTCCACATTGTACGTGCGCGGCTGCCCCGCTGCGCCATGACGCGTCGAGATGGAGCTGACTCGCACCCCGCCGTCTGCTCCGGTCGACCCCGACCCAGGCTGGAGCACGAACAGCCTCCTGAAGCCGCTCTGGCTCTGCTGCTGCTCCGCTGACACACGTATCAGGGAGAGGAAAGAACCGAGGGAAAATAAGAGGCCCCATTTAATCCAAGCCATATCCACACCGAATATGAAATGTTTATGATGTTTAAGATAGGTTAATTTCGCCTCCGTCAAAAACTCCTTTCACTTTTTAAGAGCAAGAAAAACTTGTATTCCTGAGCATATTCATGTAGGTACCGACCTCCAGCAAACTAAATAAGGATCGGAAACCAAGGGGAAAGGTTGGCTTCACTTTAAAAAGTTAGAAAAAATAGGGCATACAACTTAAAAAGTGCAGAAGTGAGTAGGACTGTCCCAACAGCGGTGGCTTACTCTGAGCACTAAGTCTGACTTGGTGCGCAGACAGAAGAGCCTGAGAACTCCGAGGAAGTTTCTCTGTTGGAGGTGAACAGTGTCAACCGCGCGAGCAGCCTGCCTCCAGACGTGACGTCAGGAGGGGGAGCCTGCAGACTAACCCCAAGAACGCTTACTGACAGTTTCTAGGGGCCCATGGGTGTCAGCCCCCACCCACACACGGATTTACTGCTTCTTTTTTTTTA